CCAAGGGCCTCCTGTTCAGCATGCCTCTAAGGGTAGACTCGGGCGCTAATTATCATCGACACATCTAATGCATGATTAGAAACATCTGGTACACTGCTGATATACTGTGCATGAGAGGGGATAAGATGACTTATTATGGTTTTCTTTTCAATTTTGAAGTAAGTTTTGTGTTGTAGCTCAGTTGTTTTCTTTGTAGGGGAGTTGTAGACATCTAGTTGTTTATGTAAGGTTATGGCATCCCTTTAAATAGATAATAAATGAGTAATAATTGACCCCCAAAATAAAATGGGCTCTAAAATAAATAAAACAGAGTGGGACTGGGAGAAAAATTGGCATTGGCACAAAGTCTTCCCATAGGTATTTTTGGACCAAACAGTTCCAAGCACTCTCTGAGGATTTTTAGGACTGTTAGCTTATTCTTTTAGACGCACATATTTGCTTTTGTACCACCAGGGTAGTCCCGTGAATCCTGTGGGCTGTGTGACCACATAATTTATGTATAATGCCAATCACTAACAAGATTAATAAATAAACTTGTAGTTGGACCCATGCGTTGTGGGCCTTAAATTTTAAAAGGTTTGAACTTTTTAGGTAGAGGTTGAAAAAGCTCTATAAAGATATAACAGAGTCATTGGAGCTAACGCTCAAGATTACATTTCTTTTACTTTATGCTGCACATTCAAAAAAAAGCACACCATAGCAGCCACTGGCAACAATTTGCTCAGCCAATCAACGCACTTAATTACAGTATATGGACTAATCGCATTCCTTGTGTCACTCAAGAATCCTCATGGAATCAAGAAAGCACCTTGAAGCAGAAGCTATAAAAACGACCGGCTAAATGTAGTGTTCAGAACCGTGACGTACCACGGGACTGCCAGTGCGTGAAGAACAACAACAAAACAAGCTGAACTACCTAAAACAGTTAAACACTGTAAAGTGGTCCCCCCGTGGTGAAAAAAAAAAAAGGCCTTTTGGCAAAAAACTCTAACACACAATGTCAGAATGCAAAATTGAAAATCCAGATTCTAAAAGCAAAATGTGCTGCATCTGTAATGAACCACTTCATATTGAAACAATTATTTTATTTTTTTTAATCTATTTATTCATGTAACGTGCCAAATGTAACTGCTTAAAAAAAGCCTTAAAGACATGAAGAAAAATTGACAAACATTAAGAAAATATAAACCTGCACATTGTTTTTCTTGAGAAATGGATGGGGCAATCATATTTAAAACCAACCACCACACCACTGGCTTTTATAAGGCACATATTAATGTCTATTTCTTGAGTTGATCAATTGTTAGAGGACGTCCTGTAACAAACAACACAACCAGAAGTCAACCCTTTCCCATAATAATGTAGAGAAATAACTTGAACTCCTTCAGTGAAGCACCTCTCTGACTCTAGTAATGCCATGAGGGTTGTCAGAACTTTTTGCTTTAATTTTAATGTTTAAAAAGATACTCTGAAGACAGTTTTCATTCTGCATCCTCAATAGTGCAAGTGCAGACATTGACCAAGCAAAGTCCATTCCGCTCTGCATCACAGAAAGAATGACTCTCACTCACTGCCTTGCATGCCAAAGCTTTAAASAAATATTTATTGTAATCTGGTGGTGCTCAGAGTTTGTGTTGGGGATGCGTTCATCAGCTACCAATTTTAGGGTGAAATTTGTAAGAAAAAAATGACTGCGTTATAGCCATTTTCTGTTGGCTAATATTTATYAGCCGTGGTAGCCGTTTTGAATCGGGTTGACGACAAAAGTTATTCATGTAGATGTGAATCCAATGAGATATACTGAGAGCTGTATTTAACTAAAAAATCCAGTGGTTCAGGTTAAAATTGACTGGTAAATGAAAACACACACACACACACACACACACACACAGTCATTTGTGTGACCGATCAGTGCTTTCTAAAAGTGAGTCTGATAGTTTAGTTATAATTTCATAGCTTCAAGCAGATACTGGCAGTCTGATCTTTGTATTTTGAAACAACAGCTGTGTTTACATCTGGATGTTACTTCATGTCTCTTGAGCAGCTTCTCCTGGGCCTGTCTGGTTTTTGGAGCTTTTAGAGCCATAAATGGTGCTTATACTAAGGAAGCAAATATCTTAAAAAAAAAAAAGAAAAAAAAACTTACATAAAAGTTGAGCTACTAATTTTTTGCAAGTCTTAAACATAAATTTGGCAATCTGCATGTTTGATAGGCAATTAGCCACTTGACTGTCTAGGAGGGAAAATAGTTTAAAGTAGACATATGATGCTTTTAAATCCTTTCTCATATTTAAATCATTCAGGTGGGGTCTATATAAGGGGGAACTGCAATGCTTTGGTCTGAATTCCTCCTTGTAACTTTACCTGCCCCTCTTCCACTCTGGTGTGTCTCAAAGCAGCTCATTTTGATTCTGTTCCTTTAAATCCAGATGAGGTTCTTCACGGTCCCAGCTTCTAGACCGGTTCACTCATTCATCAGTTTAAATGAATTTTTTTTTTCAAACCAGCTAATTTTTCTTTAATTTAAAACTGTAYACCTTTTGTTRGTATAAAATAGAGCCAGAATTGCTTGGCTGTTTTATGGTACTTGTTTAACCTGTTAAGCCGTAGGCAATGTTTTGAAGATTTCACCAGAAAAACATCCTCAAATTCAGTAACTAACAGCTCCACAGCTGCGAGAGCAAAGTGAACAAACTTAGGCCTTACGAAGACAAGACCCCTTGGGGAATTTAAAATCCACTGTAGCTCCTTATGCATTTCCCCAGGCCAGAAAAACACCAGCAAATATGGACTTTTTCATCCCCACTTAAAAAAAAAACCTTTAAACTATAGAACAGCCTTAGAAAACTAAATCGTGATACTGATATTATTCTACTTTTTCTGAAAAAGTGTCATCTGCAGGTCACTCACATGCATTGTTAAAGCACAGTTCAATTGCTGCAGCTATTTAACTATAAAACTTCATGTGCATGAATATTTTTTGAAACTTTAGTGAAAAATGTGTTCACTGTGTTTTTAACAGCAAAAGCCAGAAAAAAAAATCAAGCTTGACAATTTAACTTGTTACATATGTGAGCCAAGCTGGCTATAATAAATCACAATTAAGAATATTTGAATATTGCATTATTATTTTAAAATTCTTCATCTCAAAAACTTATTCAGCAATG